CATCGACTGTTCATCTTTGGATGGAGTCTGTGGAGGCCTTAAACTAGGTTTACAGATAACACACTGAACACGGCGCTAGGGTGGGCATGCCAACAGTGATGCTATACTCCCAACCCGAGCGTTGGCCCAGTGCAGTGTTGCGGCGCATGGTTGTGCACCTCCAAATTTTTGCAACTCCCCATGGGCTGCGAGCACCACGCTCTATTCAAAAACTGTTTGTCCATCAAATATTTGTTCTCTATGTTGCAACACGTCACAAGTGTACTGTCACATGTCCTTTTGCAGAGTACTACATCAGAGACGTCAACTACAAAATTCTACACTACTTGCAAAGGTACTAGCGTGATCAGAGGATCCCTGCACGACACTCAAATATGCAACTATATCTGAGCCTTTAAGAAGTACGGTCAGTGCCACTGAGCTATCAGTGCTAGAGCAGGAACTTTAGTGAGACATTGGGGACTTCACACTCCCTTTGACAAATTTATTCATTTTTAGACAAATGAAAGGCAACTAGAAACAGATCCACCACTTCTACTCCATAATCTACCAAAAATACCTGTTCAGAGCAGCTTCACAAAGGAAAAATAGTCTCCCCAAGAGGACAGAGACAGAGAACAAAAACTAATTTACCGTGTATCCAGAATGGCACAAGAATTAACACGAACAACAGAAACCATGTGGTAAAAGAATAAAAGCTCTTAGAGGGCAAAAAAGTTCAGAAATGCTGATTGAAAGAAAAGAATTGAAATGTACCACTTTTGTGGCCAAATTTGAATAGCTTATTAGAAGACTCCATATAAAAGGAAGCACCAGCATGAGCTTTGGAATGGCACTTTCAACCCAGCACATAATTGCAAGTAAATTACAATAATTGTGCCAATTAAAGTAATCCTGAATGAAGAGAGTGTCATCTTAATGTTTCAGTACTAGGGATAAGAGTCACTCTAATTAGGAGCGAATTGCAGGGCTACACATTCACTCAAATTTTGATTAGTTGCATTTTTTTGGAGTGTCCAAGAAATGCCTTTAGTGGGGAAAAAAATCAGAAAAATGGATGATGAATCTAATGTAAAAAGCATAAAAGGTAAGTTTTATTCCCAAACAAATATAAGGTAAGGCTACAGTTCTTAACATAACAATTTTACCTGAAAATCATTTCTCTGTGGTTATTTTTTTAATTATTTTTTAGAGCATGTGTGTTCGTTAAAGACAGTCTGCATCTCAGGCTCTGATTAGTTACACTGAATCTCAGAGGAGTTGGGGGTGACATATGTTCATATCCCGGTGTGAGAGCTACATCTGTGTGAGCAAAAATGCACATGTGTGTGGGATTAGGCATGCAATAAATATGTGTGCGCATTAGATTAACCGGGAAAACTTAAAGTGACAAATACGGTCTTAAGTTAGACGCAACACTACAACTCTGATGTGCTAAGGTGTGTTTGAAGGTATAGCAGGCGATGTGTGCGAATGTGTGGGTGTGTGTGTGTGACGAATACAGGAGATTCAGGTGCGGAGCCAGAAACACACTCCGGAGTGCAGCGGGGGCATCCTGGCACAGGCGAGGCACCAGATGTCAGAGTGGTGCAGGAACCTGCTCAGTGGACCAGTCACACTTTTTCTAGAGCCTGAAAACTGGATCTGGGCATCCAGGAATAAACTCTCTGATGGTCTGACAAAAACCCGCCCTCGTACATCACTGGGTCCAAATATGTTAATTACACAGACAGAACTGCTTCTCTCAAGCCAGTCACACAAAAAAACAAACAAATTATTTCTTGTAACAAGCCATGGTAGTACACGTAGAAATGCAGGAATGAACATATCCACTCATTTTGAACTAAACTGTACAAAGTTCACCTGAAAATTTCAAAGTTTGGATTAACTAAATCAGTTCAGCAACTCGCTGTAAACTTCAGTTGTATCATTAATATCAAACAAGCCAATTGTTTTTTTTATTTACAGTATCTATGTATTAACTTAAGTCTCTTAGTCCCTTGTTGATAACTTATAAAATGATGTATTTTATTTAAAATAAACTTTGTTGGTTGTACTTTGCTTTGACTAAATGTATTTAATATTTATTAGGTGCCACTAATATTTGTTTCATACAAATTTTTATTGCAAAAATGTTATTTATATTCACATAGTTACTAAACAAACAACACAAAAAAATGTATAATATTCTCAACTTGTTCTCGGTCCTAAAGTTCATCTACAAAACAGAGTTTGTTAAATACAAATGTTAAATGAAAGTGATGAATTGGGCTCAAAACATCATTGGGCTAATAAACATGAGGCTTCATCTACCGTCTCTGAAAATGACAAAGACTGCTTGAAAGCAATAAGCATGAAGCAGGAGACAGCACGTTCAGCTATAGTCATTAGGTGTCTAATGGAAGCTGAAACACAAGAAAACTGACTCATCAGAAGTGATGCGCACGAGAGAAAAGAAATTGCATAAGCGGCAGTTGAAAGATGAATCTGAGAGGGATCATTTGACAGAGACAATCGTTAGAACTGATTCAAATAAATCTGTTTTTTACCTCTTCGTTTTATTTTTGTGTGTTCGAGAAAATAAACCCATTACGTATGCAGTTTTCCTGTAAGTCTTTTCTTACAGCAGTTTAACATTTGAGCTACATTCAGTCTGCAAGTGTGAGAAAGCTTCATCATTACTAGTCAGTGCCATATTTCTTAGTTTTTTTTTTCTCTTTCTGCTGCTTTCGCATTAGTCTGGGTGTATGTACCAGCCTTACCAATATTGAAAGAAATTAAGGGGGTTAAAAACAGATTAGACATTCTCCATCAGATTAGGAAGGCTGTACTGACCTGCTCCCACTCTGAAAATCAACAGTACATTTTTGGTTCTTTTTGCCATGTGTCCTCAATGACTCGACACAGCCATTTGTCTTGCCAAGTAAGTTTGCAAAAAACCCAGCTTCACCTCTTTTGAAAGCCTGTGTGTTTTCGAGAGATAGGAGCAAAGACAGAAGAGTATTTTTAAATATTTTTCTCTTTTTTCTAGAAGTAAAAGGTACAAAAAGGAGCTGGTTGTAACCTGCACTGGGAGGGATCTTTTTGATTTAGTAGTGGATGGATTGCATTTTTAACATGAAACCAGTGTTATTTAGCAAATGAAGCACTTTAAAAAATCCAATAGTTCGCTTTACTTTGTACTGGCAAAAATCTGTTCCCAGCAATATTATTCATCCATTGTGTGATTTGCAATGAATAATATTTCTGTTAATCTATGTACCGTTGAACAGTAAGCTTTACAAAGAGAGGAGAGGAAGAGCGTGCTGCCTTGTGACTGAGATGCAGGGCGACAGTTGACCTATAAGGGGCTGACTCACCCCATGTTCACTTCACCACTAATATATTCACTTAGTAACGCTCAGGGGACGTGCAATTCTGCTGAGCACAAGAACTTCTGCATGAAGACAGAAACAAAACAACTCTAACTGTAAGATAAAGGAATCTGGTGAGTGGTTCAAATGAAGCTACGACATAAAATATCTCTGAATGGTGAATAAAAACGAACAGCTATATATATTTCACCACTGAACAGGCAAGAGAAAGACCCTGCGGTTGTAAGAAGCCGGCAAAGTGGTTGTCCATCATAACTGAAACAGACAGAATAACTCATCCAGACCAAAAAAATGGGGACTTAAAGAGCCTCAGAAGAAAAAAGGAAGAGAAGAGCAGAGACATAAAAAGATACACGGACAGAGGGCTGAGTCTTATCAGCGGAAGATCGGTGCGAGAGATAAGGCCACTAGACAAGGCACTGCGTTTAGCCTGTTTGAGGCTTCCTGTCATCATCATTAAGTCAGCTACTGCGATGGCTGCTGCAAAACAGAACCGCCATTTGGAAAGACACTCAGAGTGAAGGAAGATAAAGAAAGACAGAACCATTGGTCATAAACAAGAAAATGAGCACTGCAACATTCTTTGGTGAGAGCCGTTCATTATACAAAGAAACAAGCTGGATGTTTAAGGCTTTCTTATAGTTCAAAAGACAATAATGATGACAAATATCTGAAATGTCCTACACTTTGAGTTAAAAAGTTAAATATTAAAAAGTATACATAAAGGCGAAGCTTAAATTGACAACAGAGATGTTTCACAGGTACCACTTTAAATTGCTCCTACTTCTTGTGTTTTATTTTGTAGTGTTCAAAAATATATTGTAATGCATTTTTGTCTCCTAAAAGCCAAACAGCAAAAAGAGGTCTAATGAGGCGGTGGACAGTGTTGGAGAAGGGGGATGGAGAGCTGTCTGCTGAATGTAGCTGGCTGACTAGCTGACAGTAACTGTCTGTGACACATCCCTGCCGCAGGAGTCTAGGGCGCTAGTGTATTGTGACAGAGTGCAACCTTTAAAGGCCAGAGATTGATGCACAGCAGCTCCCGAACCCAGAGACTCGGGCGCTTTCAGTCTCCCTCCTCTTGTCGGCCGTGAGCATGCCTAAAAAAGCCTTCTTGACCTCACAGACACAAACACTCATGCTAAGCACGCACAGCAACATAAGATGTTACTGTTAGGGCTCCACATTTGAGCATAAACATGAGCATAAATGTCTCGTTAAGGATCCTAAATTGTTCAGGCTAAAAGTCCGTCATTAATTGCCTCRAACATTATGATCAGTTACAAAATCTGACAGTGCTTTGCCACTTAGTGTTCCACTTACAGCATTTGAAATAAACATCKTCAAATAATGTAAAACATGAAATCCTCTACTGCCACCTGCTGGTGAAATAAAAACTACAACTCCAGCTCTGAAAATTGTCCTGTCTTATTTATCTCTACAGGGAACTTTTGATGTTTAATAACAAAAACTAGATTCCTCTTCCAAAATCATTTGATGGAATTACCTTTCAATTTGAAAATAGACTAGAAATGAAAAGTAGAAAGTTGGTATCAAGATGAATTACGAACACTGGTAAACCTTCAAATAAGTAACTAAACAGGGACTGACTGTGTGAGTGTCTACCTCTCATAGACTGCCTTGAGAGTGACCTGATCTGACACTCCATCAGCTTCTTCCAAGAAGAGGATGATCCAGGATGTCCTGTATGGCCACTCCTCTGTCAGGTGGATCCATGACGCCAGACGATCCCAGTTAAAGATGATCTGATTGGCTCGCAAAAGACGGCCTGTCAATAATTGAGCAGAGGGTTGAGGAGCCTTCAGAAAAAATGCACACCTGATTAAACTAGTTAATAAAAGCTGCAGCGGATTTGATTTTAATAATGTGCTTTGGTTTTGAGGGCTGAGTAAAAAACTAAGTGTTTACAGAAGTTTGTCAGCAACTTCTGCTACCCTGCAATCTGAAATGCCAAGCCCAGTTTACAATCAAATCCCATAAAATTTTTGAGGGTTTTTTATCTTCTGCCCACAACAATATTTTATCCTTTGCTGACTTAAGCTGACTAAAAGAAATCCCCTTAAGTTCTTCCTATTCTAGGAAAATCTGACCAAGCCTCATCCAAAGCATACTTGCAGTAAAGCGAGAGCCCTTCTAGAACAAGTTTACTAAAACTGAGATAAGAATAAACAAAAAAAGTTGTTCTGGAGGTTTTTGGAAAGAGCTGTCTGGTAGACRACTACAGCTGTAAACTATTATGTAAAACCCACATTCAAACCGCAGCTCGTTGCCTTAGCAAGGCCTAACTTAAATAAGATAATAGCCCCCCAGAGAAAAAATATTTTATAGTCTTTTCTAATACATGTTCCGAAGCAAAAAGTGCTTTCCACAAACTACTGAAACGCTTTATGTTTTTAATAATTCCTTCCCAGGCTGAGTAAGTCACTGTTMCAATGAGGACATCAATTACATTTTTGAAGTCTACATTTAGCTTTGCTGTTCTTTGTGAAGTATTTTATTCTCAAAATCTAAAAAAAACAAAAAAAGTATGAGTAGAAGACACACAGGGATACATACAGAGAACTTACTAAAGTCATTTAGCTTTACACAGAGTAACATACAATATCTGTATGTTAAATGAACCCCTGCAAACAGCACATTTTCATTTTTTAATTTCATTCCTTTTTGATACCTGAATCCTTGAAAAGTTCAATTACAGATTGCTCAGGGTATCCATGCAACTTGACACATTTTTTGTRAATACAGAGTCTTGTTGGCTTCTATATCCTGTAAAGGCAACATGAAAGTTCTTATAGTCTCAAGTCAGGTGGTAAAAGCAGCGAATCCCTACCAAAATTTAACGTTTTTTTTACTAACCAAGTTTATAACAAAGCATATTAGGCAAAACTGTAAGTCAAAAAAAAAAACAACTTTGGAAATATCGTTTGTAAATCAAAATTTCCAAAATAGGATTGTCGGGTCAATAAAAAGATTCAGCTCAGATTATTGCTGATACTAACTCCACAAAATCTAAAATGTTTTGCAAACATATCTTAATAACCATCCATCCACCAGAGAAAAACCAGAGTACCCAAACAAAACCCACACAAGCACATGGAGAATATGCGAACGCCACAAAGAAMGTCGGAGAGGCAAACTTGCGACCTTCTTGCTGTGCTGCACCATATCCCAGTAATGTGCTCTAAACCATTTACATGCAATACTTTTTTATAGAGCGAAGCAGAAACAGTTTAAAATCAACAATAAGACTAAAAAWTCAAGTTAAAAAATGTCTAATAACCTTTAATATTAATATACAACAAAATATAGTTTTTAAGGTAAGAAGATTCAGGAAGAGCTAAAGTTCACAGTGGTTCTGTCTTTACCTGTGATAGAAACAATGTTAAGCAGCCTCCTCATGGTCTGTGGGCTGATATCACAGAACCAGTCCTCTGTCACCAGCAGCTTGGTCAGGTCGAAGGACATTTGTCTGGTGATGGTCCTCTGCATCTGACGACGACGGTATGTGTCCTAAGCAGACAAAATAACATAACATAGTTCATTTTATTATCTGTGGATTCTAAAAGATTCCAGGTGCATTATGGCCACCAAAACTTAAGGTCTGTTACATTAATCCTTTCAGTTCAACAAAGCACATTCAATACTGTGGACTGGGGAAAAATGTAAAGACTGAAGACAGGAAAACAGGAAGTGTTTTTTTTCTTCTTTTTTTTTTTTTTACTGAAGTTTAGCCTAATATAGCAACAAGAAACTGATGCAGTGTATTCTAAACTTGTTTTTTTTTATGAGTGACACAAAATCCAGACAGCAGTATGAGTCTTTTCATCATGAGATATTTCAGAGTCACAAAGTCTGGTGTTTGAATGGACTGAGGAATACATGCAGTTAGTTGAATGTAAACTCATATTCTAAATCTCAACCTATCTATAAAGTTTTCTGCTTTCAGCCAAAAACAAATATTTTATCTTTGTATACCAGTGACATGACAACTATGTAGCAAGTAAACAGTTGCTAACAAATCTGTAATCCAACAAAAGTTTGCACTATAACCAACTAAACTTGACATTTTAAAGGCCTGTAGAAATATGTAATAATATAAACAGAAGGTTCTAAGAGCTACTGTCCAAAGCCAGAGTCATGACATCCAGGCAACTATTGACACAGATCTACAGGAAAACATCTGTGGTGATATCAGACAGCTGTCATGGTCATGAGCCAACGTGAGGCTTTTGGTTGACTTTGAAGTTATAATACCAGTCTCATGACCTCTTTCTCAGAAAGAAGGAACATATGGCCACCACTCAGTCCCATCTGAAAAGGTCCAGCATACAGATATTTTAAAGGGGTTTACTTTTCATTATGCATTAGCAAAACACATTTTTCTGGAAAATGTGTAGTTATTGCTTAGGGGGTTTGAGAAAACTGAATAACGGCTCTTTTAAAATAAAAATTATTGGCGAAATTTAATTTAGATAAATGTAAATAAAAGAAAACTTGAAAAGCCACATGAAAATACCACGCTACTAATTGATTTTCCCCTTCCTGCCCTCATTTTAATCTCCACTTGTAGAAAATGGGTCCTCCTGCCAAGAACTGGCTTTTAACAGARTAGAGAATCCTCTGACATAATAAAAAGGGCCAACAGCAATAACTGAGGGGAACTAGATAAACACGAGCTACAAACAAATGTCAAACAAACAAACAAACAARGCAGGAAGGCAGGAAGGGACGGGGTTGGGGGAGTCGGGGTCTCACAGGAGGGAGGACAGCATCAGTGGAAGCAGCAGAGTCACTTAGCCTCCTGCCAGCAGACCTGGTGCCAGTGTTTTGTCACAGGGACCCACTGCTGCTAGGCCTTGTCATTAGGCTGTGGCAACACAGCAGGAAGGATAAACAGCCATTACATCAATTACACCAGGAACCTTGGCCGCACACCGAGCACCTCTCAGTTTTCATCTAAGCGTGTCCCCCTTCTGTCCTATGGACCTGTGTGCTGCCTGCCAACACCGGGCCTCAGCTAAAGACCCCGATCAGGGAGGAGGCAACAAACGGAGAGCAGGGAGGGTTTCTCAAGCTGCATTTCTCTATAACAGTGCTTTCAAGATGTGAATGCATTTAAACTGGGATGACATCACAAAGTRGGATATGATGGAGTGCTTGTTTTGCAACACAGACTTGGGGTTACCTTCAGTTCTAATRAAAACGCTGTTTATATTTAAATAAATTTCMCTTTAAATCTCAAYGCCTTGAAATTAGCCTCTGCCTCTTTTGGAACCTCCTACTGTTTCCAACACTCCCACTTCAGTCCGTCTTCACAACAATGCTTTATGCCATTTACAACCTTTCATAGGAGCGTTACATTTTGTTGTAAAAAAAAAAAGAAGCAATGTTATATAACACCGTTTTGGAAAACGGTAACTTGATACCTTACTCGAATGAACTCACCTCGGATCTGGAAAGTACATTTTCTGAAAAAACKGAGAAAGTACAGAGGCTCTAACAAAAAGTTTAAGCTTGGTAATATAGATCCCAGTCATCCTCTCATCCTTATACATCAATSTTAAGCTACATTTAGCAAAGAAACTATAAATATAGAGCATTATTGAAGCTATGTTTTGCAATGAAATCATGAACATCCCCCATTTTTAAGATATGTTTCACACAGAAATCGTAGTGATTTGTAAAGTCATATTTCTCCTGCTGCTAGTCTGGTGTTGTTGTGTGGGGGAGGTCTCGGGGGAGGGGAGTTCTGTGGGGCGAGAGCTGGGCTGGGGAATGAGCTGCAGGGTGGTGCATTGGGTAAATAGGTGATGCTTTGTATGAACAAGCATTTAGGCACCTTCAAATGGCTACCACAGAAGATTCAAGCTCAAAAACGTAAATTCTGCATAATACCCCCTACCCACTCCTCASCCTTAGTATAACTCTAATTTTATATTATTATTATCTAACTTCAACAAATATTGCAGCTTTAGATATCTTTAAAAGTTGGCTCTGGAATCACTGGTGTTTGTTGTGAACATTGACAAAATACTGTAGCTCATACTGGAATTTATTTTAAAAAAACGGTAACATAAGGAGCCATTACCCTTCGGTTCAGAGTGCTCTTGCTGCCATGCTTGCCCTGCTCTTGAGACAGACTGTTCTGAGATACCTTCCTGTCCGTGTCTTCAAGCCATCCTGTAGAGAAGAGGGGAAAAAAGCAACTTTATAAAATACTCTGTGTAAACTATGTACACATTAAAAAAARGCTTTTACCCTCAGCGGGTAGAGCCTCTCCATTGGTGGAGGCTGCCATGCAAAGCTTTTTGGCTCGGCTGAGTCCTCTGCTGTTGAGGAATACTGGCAGGTGGACAATGTTTCTCATGTAGTCGTGGCCATTGATGTTCGAGTCTCTAAGCACACTGTTGAGGTTTTGATTGATTGCTTTAATTATAATGTGGGGGTCGCTGGCAAAAATGGAGATAAAAGGACCCTTGGAGAAGAGGACTCGCACCTAGAATGAGAAAGAACAAACGGTAAAGTCATCAAGAACAGTTCTCTTAACATTTAATGTTTAATCATGTTGCACCTTTGTCACTGAGCTCTACGGGACAGAGTTTAGAAATTGGATTTGAACTTTTGTGTCAATGACCAACACAGCAGATCCCTCAGTGGAGGATCTGCTACTTTAGCATTAAGGGGTACTTTAGAATGTAACTTAACAGCTCGAGGCAAAAGTCAGCTGCAATGTTTAAACTTAATGACTCCTGTGGGGCTTGACACCGGGCTGGGGATTTCCTGTCTGCTAACTAAACAACATTGTCCAAGTGTCATAGGACATCAATTTGTGCTAATGGATTCATGGTTTGTTAAACTCTGGCCAGAACCCTCAGGCTCAAACTACAAAACTATGCTTCTCTGTACATAAAGCAGCTACCACCACCATAAATTGAGCTGCATTGTGTCTACATCTTTGAAAAACTGAGGACACAAACTAAAGAAAACATAATTTTGGTAAAGCGTAAACTGATAAACTTTATAAAAGTAATGTTTTGAGTGCTGCTTGAAACATTCGCAACACAAAAAAAATGCAACTGATGTGATTCAAAGACTGCAGAAGAGCAGTGAAGGTTGTCATCTTCCCAGGGATTACTCCATCAAACAATAACATTTAGCTAGAGGAAATTGTGTTACAGCAGCTGGGAGGAATAATATAAACTTGGAGGCGAGATGAGGCAGCTGGGAACACCAAAGTGCCTGCAAAGCAACGGAGACGTGTGCACAAAGGACGAAGACTCGCGTTTTTTTTTTTTTAAGGTCACATCACAGCTGCTCCACAGCAGCTTGTCTCATGACAGCAAATCTTCCTGAAGCGCAGGTGTAAAAAGAGTTTTATTATTCCATTAACTCGTGATCAGACTCTAGCAGATGTAAAACACGCACCGTGTCCAGCATCTGCAGCACTTTGTCCTGCTCACAAGCATCTAACCCATCGATGATGACAGCCATGCGAGTCTGGTTCTGGGTAAAGCCATCAATAGTTTTGGCCATTTTTGACATCAGCTCAACTTCATGCTTCAGGACCTGATGAGAGACATTTTGAAAGAACAAAGCAGTTTAACTTTCAGTGCTCTAAGCAAATTACCTGTAATTAAAAGTAGAGTTTTATAATGCACATCCATCCATCCACCCATCTAGGAAGAGCAGCTTGAGCAGGGTGGCCCTGGCATCTTTTTCTACATCTTTCAGCTCTAACAAGAGGAATCAAAAGTGTTCTCAGGCCAGTAGAGAGGCATAGTGTCTCCAGAGTATCCTCTGGGGTCTCCTCTTAGTTGGACATGTCAGGAACACCTCCCTAAGACTGGGTTCCCACACATTGGTCAACATCAAATTCAAGGACCTTTCAAGGACTTTCCAGTACCAATTCCCTCAAAATTAAAAACCATGCACGATGGCAACTACCTACTGCTACCGCAGAATGTTAATAAAYAGGTTTAATATCATGTAAATTCAATGAAAAACTGAACAACATAGAAGTTGTTGAGTCAGAATCAATGAAAGAAAGTGGATTAAATGTATACCCTACATTTATATCCACAATACATTGACATGTAATTATGTCCTGGGAGGTTTGACAGCTCAGTTTGGGAGGAGGGGATGTGAACATGTCCACACGCTCGGTGAGGACAGGAGGAGCTGTGGTGCTTCTTTCACCTGGGCTCAGAAAGAACAACCAACCCTACTCTGCTCTGATTGGGTAAAACTTTGACTATGGCTCACGTTATTTGTTGAAAGCCACGTCAGTTTACTGTAATCCTGAGTTATCCACCACAACAAAAGTAAGTTTTTAAATTTTCATTTTATTATTATTATTATTTTTAAATTTATTTATTTATTTATTTATTTATCCATCCATCCATCCATCCATCCATTTTCTGTACACGCTTCTTCCTTTTCAGGGTTGCGTGGGTCACTGGTGCCCATATCCAGCAGTCACAGTGCGAGGGGCGGGGTACACCCTGGACAGGTTGCAAGTCCATCACAGGGCCACACATAGAGACAAACGAGACAAACAACCATTCACTCTCTCACTCACACCTAGGGACAATTTAGAGTTATCAATTAACCTAACAGTCATGTTTTTGGTCTGTGGGAGGAAGCCGGAGTACCCGGAGAGAACCCACGCATGCACGGAGAGAACATGCAAACTCTACCCAGAAAGGTCCCCAGACCGGGATTTGAACCGGTGACCTTCTTGCTGAGAGGCATCAGCTCTACCAACTGAGCCACCGTGCCGCCTTTATTTATTTATTTATTTATTTATTTATTTTTACAGATGATGAAAATCAGTTGTGAATAGAGAACTTCAATCTCCAAAAAAACATTCAAAGACTTTCAAGGACAAGTGTAATTTTTGGTTGTTTTCACAAACTTTCCAGGGCCTTGAAATTTTTTTTTCAAATTCACAAACTTTCAAGGATTTTAAGGACCCGTGGGAACCCTGCTAAGATGTCCAGGGGGTATCTTTACCAGATGTCTGAGCCACTTCAACTGGTTTGTCTTGGTGTGGAGGAGCAGCAGTTCTACTCCAAATCTTGCCAAGATAACTGAGCTTCTGACCCAATCTCTAAGGTAGAGCCCAGAAACTCTGGAAAAATCAAATTGCTCCAATTTCCCACTGGGATCAATAAAGTATTTTTGAATTTGAATTGAATTTGAATTTTGACAGCCTGTATTTGTGATTTTGTACTTTTGGTCACTCGTGATCGGTTCATCGTGATGACGTCAACAAGACCACATTATACACAAACAGAGATGGAACCTTGAGGTTGCCAAACCAGACCCCTTCTGTCCCCTGAGTAATTCTGTCAATGAAAGTTAGGAACAGAACTGATGACAGCGAGCAGCACTCTGAAGCGGTCCACATTGTTTGCACAGCTTTATTACTTTATGAGCAAATGTATTGTCCCTATAGTCACAACAATAAGATATCAAAGTACTTCTGTTTGTAGCTGGTTAGGTAAAAATGTACAAGTGAATAATGTACCTTCATAAACCCTTCACTTTTGAGCTTATGCAGGTTGTTGGCAGCACTGTGCAGGCGTTTCCTCTGGGAGTTCAGAACAGAATCAGCCACGTGCCACCAGGTCTTACAGTTCAGCAGCAGGGCCAGGCCCACCACACTGGCCATGGCTATCAGCACTGCGTTTACTGTCAGATTCCTAGGGTCCACCTAAAGAACAAAAGAAATACAACTCTAAATTTTTCTACCCATGTAAATCCTGATTTCTCTATGTTTATACTCACAAAAGGAAATTTTTACAAACATAAATCAACAACGTATAATTAGAAAAATATATAGGGATGTAACTGTAGAGACTATTTTCAAATATTTCTAAACTGTCATGTTGCAGAAACCTTTTTTCATTAATTTAACCCACCTTAAAGATGGCCAACAGTGCCACACCAGTAATCAGGCAGGCAAGAGTCAAGGAAAACAGCACAAAGGAAGGAACACAACATGTTTTCTTCCATTTTTGACCTGAGGAGTTGGGGGAAAGTGGAAAGTAGTGTGAGACAAATAAATTCAAAAACCATGAAAGAGAACTATATGATTCACGAATATTTGATGCTGGTAATTGTGTTAATGTGACCTTTAAAGTTGTACTTTTTTTGTTGCAGGGAAGCAGGAAAATCTTTATAAAATAACAAATAGAAATAGAAAAATAACAGAAGAGGATGATGGCAACACTTCTCCCCATCCTGGATGACTTATCATTCTGTACAGTGCWGTGGTTAGTTAGGGAAGCATTTTCAACCACTGGTGTAGTTTTACAGCTTTCAGTAAGAAGATCCTTGACACACTAGGAAAAACCCAGAGTCTCTTCTGGTTTATTCAGTTTTGGCTGAAGGTTGGCACGGGATGTGTCTCCTCCCAAAAAATGCATATTATTGAGTAAATTTGCTACAATTATATTTATAAAAGTCTGATCAATGTAGTATATTTTATGTTTTTGTAATATGCACAAAGGTGAGGAAAATTTGATCTTAACATATTTATGTGCCTTTTTTGTTGCACAGTCAACACAACTATATTGGCGTTTGGATGTAATTAACAGCACCAAATCTTGGACTTTCTAGCAAATTTTCCCAACATCATTCATGKAAACTAGTACTTTSAACATGATTTAAATTTCTCTTTCTGATTTTGTGAACTAAATGTTACCCTTGATCTCGTCGTTCATGAACACTCTGAACAGTCTGGAGGCCAGGAAGCCAAACTCTCTCTCACAGGCATCTGACAGCGTGGCAATCATTTCAGCCAAAGAAGTCTCTCCTCCAACACTGGACAGGCGGTTATAATCCGTGAACAAGAACCTGTGTAACATGCAAAAGGAACTAATTACGGCACAAAGCTCATAAATTATGATAKACTGTGTTTAAGTTTTACAGCTTGAATCCAGTGCGGCAGCTATAGAAACTGGCAACATGTCGGTACACTTGAGATGCTTTTAGCTGAAGTGAAACAGCAACATTCTGTGAGTGTAAGCAAACTGCGGTGACTGAAGTTGCTCGTGTCGGTCACCTGACGGGCAGGGCTCGAGTGGTCTGCTCAGGAAGCTCAAGGGGGTTTACAAACATCAGTCTAAGCAGCAGCTCTAGATAACCGATCTGACGGGCCAGGCGKGTGCTGATGACCCACGCCCAGTTCCAGTTCTCCCTCTCACGCCGACTTCCAAAGTACACCAACACTAGAAACATAAAAAACATAGAATATACGTAACCATTGTAGCATTTGCTGTGATTTCTTTATTTTGTAAGGAAAACAACTTGACTTTAGTTGCATAATGGCCCCTTCTAGTGAGTTCTTCAGTTTGGGCTCTTTCAAACTTACATAATACAGAGAAAAATGGGGAATTTTAACATAAATACACTCATTTTTATTTAATATCTATCCACAAGTATCAAGCGGCTCAAAAAGCAACTGTTAATGGTTTTTGACAGGTAYATTTTATTTCCTCACCAAAAAAAATGTAGAGCAGAGCAAGAAGRCTAAGGGACACAGCAATTGCTAACTTGGGATTCACAGTAAAACCCAGAACGACGGCCACCGAGCCACAGAGCAGCAGGGTGAGGAAGACCACCAGCCAGGAGAACTCGAACAGCGGCTCTATCTGCTGACCTGCAAATGTCTTCATCTCATCTGAGGAAGACGAGACAGAGGGAAGAGAAGAATTGAGAACGAGTGTAAAAATCACTGATCTGCACATTTTCTCCATCTGATGATATCAGAACACGTACCTTCGAGTTTTTTAAGAAGGAACGACTTGCCGCTCCCCCACTGAGCATACAGGCCGACACAGATAGGCGGCTGCATGGTGGGTTCACTAAGAATATCAGCTAGAGCGCTGCTATACAGGTCATAGCCCAGCATGTCTCCATCTGATTCAGTTGGGGACAGGTGCTCTGTGGAAAACAAACCAAAAGGTAAACAGTGAAGGTAAAAGTCAAAATAAAAGCAGTTCATATTTTTGAGCTTCCAAACCAAAATCCACAAATTTTGTCACTTCTTCAAATGTGAAATAAAAAAATGGGTCATACTGGCTCCAAATATCTGCGTCAGGATGCTTTTCTGGTGGGTGCAGTCAATATTGTAAGGAGTTTCTCCGGCTTTGTTGGGGCGGTACAACAAGCGGCCATCTTTGGGGTTCCTCAGCAGCAGCTCGGCCAGCTTTCGGCTTCGTCCGCGAATGGCGATATGGAGCGGAGTATCTCCTTTCTGAGTCAGTGAAAATACAAAACGGATTAGTGAGCTAAACTAAAATGACTTAAGATTGGAAATGTTGGAACTGTGTAGTCTGTAAACATACCCTGTCTACGGCAGCTACTTTGGCTCCTTTATCCAGCAACAGCTCCACAATCTCTATGTTCCTCATTTTTGTGGCTTTTATAAGTGGGGTCTCTCCGTCCTAAAGAATAAACAAAAGTACAAATTTCGTTGCATTTTTTAACAATATACACACAACATTTATCTTTTGTTGCCCTTTTTTCAAATAAAACAGGACAACAATAAAGTTTAAACTTTTCTTCAGAATTAATTTATGGAATAAAAAAATCGACGACAAAAGATCATTTTACTCATTTCCAATGGGAGTAGTACCTTAGTGCAGCTCTCTGTGTCTGGGTTACACTGTAGGATGTCTCTCACCATCAGTGCATTTCCTTTCTCCACTCCCCAGTAGAGGGCAGTCTTTCCATCCTAAAGAGAAAAGCTTTTTTTATATTTTATAAACAATTAAATGTGTTGTAAATAAAGGTCACATGCATGAAAAATAGTTAACTAATTAGCATAATCTGCATTAAAAACTTGAATGCGTTTCATTTTTCAAAGGATGTGAATGTGTTCATTTAACAAAACAGTTAACTTTACTAAAAGACAATAATGATAAATAGTACTGCCTGWTAGGCTAACATTTCACACTGAGAATGTGAGACAGAAACACAGTGGGAGAGGGCTGCCTACCTGGCCTTTAACATCAACATCAGCATATTTGTTCAGCAAAGCTCGAACTATCTCCACATGGCCTCCTCTCACTGCCCCAATCAGCACAGTCTCTCCACTCTGAACAAATAAATCAATAAAAGAAGACAAAATGAGATGCAAGACGTGGACTTTATCGCACTCACGTTATATTTAATGGTATTTATTGATTCTGACTTTACCCTGTCTGGAATATTAACATAGGTGCCAGCATCGAGTAGGTCCTGCACAATCTCTGTGTGGCCCTCTTTGGCAGCGATGGCGAGGGCTGTGTTTCCGTCCTTGTCCGTCATGTTCACGTTTGGGTTCCGCTTCAGCAGCTCTTTCACAACTTTTGTGTAGCCGCCTTTCACAGCTACAATCAGAGCTGTCATKGAGTTCTGGAGAAGCGAAGAGAGAAGTGAGTCGTACAGGTGTAGGTTGTTCAAACACTTGTTTTCATTCTACACTAACAGACGTCAAAGACGTGTCAGTTATTTGTCATTTGTTTCGCCTCTCAGATTGAAGCTCATCAGAAGCTCCAATTACATTAATTTAAATTGTTAAAACTTCTTAAAACCCTTTTATAAACACCTTAAACATTTTAAGTCTCTTAATCACATTCAAATAATTGTTTCTGCAACATTAACTATAAATCCATCTAATTATTGATGCTACATGTAGAACAGCTACATCGTTCAGTTTGTGTCAGAACAGATGCAACATGACTTGAAAGAGCACAGCTGCACAGTGCCAAAGTGATAATTAATCATCTAACAATTATCTAACTTCACATTATCGCTTGCGTTTGCGCCTTATACTGAAACAAACAGTCTACGGTCATTTCCCAAATGACAAAAACATTAAAACATGTTATAGGAAGACATCTACCTAATCCTTTTTAGAATGTTTGCACAAACAAAAGTCAAACAAAAAATATGCGTTGCCCATTTCATGCATGTTGCAAGTAAGAGATGATAACTTCAACAAATGTAATTTTATATCCATGCAGTCATAATCGAACGTGATTCAAGAAAAAAAAAATGCATATGAAGTGTAAAGACTCAAATAGAGGTATCTCTACTTCTAAAAACATGACATTTTTTGATGTTCTAAATGCTACCAACAAATCTACTTACAGCTCCTTCCTGATCCACATCAGCTCCATTGGCCAAAAGGTGCATCACGCTGTCATAGTGACCCTTCCTGGCTGCCCAGATCAAAGGAGTGGTCCCATACTGCACAGGAAAAAAGATAATACCGTCAAATGTTTAAAATATGAAAGCCAAGAGACTATTTTATCATCAATTAAATGTTTTATTTATGGGGTACATGGAAAATAAAAGGGTATTTTAGAGTAACCCTGACAGCTATGTGCATCCTCTGTGTGATTAAAACAAGTAAATGATACAAGTCAGAACACAAGTACCTTGTCCGAGCAGTTGACCTTGGCTCCGTACTGCAGCAGTAGATGGACAATCTCCGCATGGCCTCGACCTGCCGCCCAGATAATGGGGTAGACGCTGTACTGTTGGGCCAGAGGACAGCGGCGAAGTCAAGCAGACAGTAACTAATGATCAGTGTTTAGGCCCGCAGCCATACAAGAGCTTAAACAGCAGGTAAGCTATAAAGCTATACATTTCAAGTTTAATGAGCTATAGAGCCTCGTTTGGAAATGCAATGATTTCTCTACAATAAAACTGTTCAAACATCCAACCTGAACAAGAAAAACACATTTATTTATTCTAATACTTTTACATAAAGCACTCATAGGATCATGTCTGTGTACCTGTCCAGTGATGTTAGGATTGGCTCCTTTTTCTAAGAGCAGCTGGGCCACATCTGTGCGATTTTTGTAGGCCGCCCACATGAGAGCAGTCCATCCTCCCTGAGTAAAAAATAAATAAATAAATAAATAAATAAATAAATAAATAAATAAATAAATTGATTTAAACTTGTTAAAAAACATGAGAGGAAAAACTCATCCGCATCAATAAAAGTTTATACAGTGTACAAAATATTCAATATTTAGAATGTAGGCTCATAATGTGTTATTAAAATGCAAAGACAGTGCTGAATGTAACACATTTAAGGTTTACAAAAAACATCAAATCTAAGCAGATTTTCCAGCAGGAAAATGTGTTATTTCTGGATGGAGTGACACACTTTTCCAGTGAGTGACACCGTGGTTTATCATAATCCAACTGCAATGACTGGTTGTAACCTCTCCTGCACAGCTTAGTGGCTACCTGAACTGCAGTGAGTCACCTGAAATCCTGGCTCCGTTTGAAAACATTAAAACACCAAAAATAAGGATTTTACTCATTTCTTTACAGAACAAAACAAAGTTCTTTGCTGTTATGACAGCTTTTTTGATGAACGTATGCCTCTAAAGCCAATTAATCCTAATAAATAAATAAACGAATAAATAAATAAATGTATTTTTTGCGGTAAGCTCAAGGAGACACAGAACGAGGTATAGTTTTGCAAAAAGGCACTCTGGCTGGCACAAGTCTGTATATGACCAAGCCCAACACAACTGAAGCCTAGTAAATTGAATTTGTTTTAGAGGAGAGCCATTAAGTAGAAAGTAATTTCATTTTATGTCCATTTCCAGGCAGCTGAAACATACCATTTAACCATGACTTGGATTGCAAGATAAATAAAGAAAACATAGCTGAATTTTGTAAGATTTAGGCACGTCAGGCCTAATTTCATTTTAAACCATTATTGCAGGATGATTTCTTTTCCTTATAAAAACTACCTATTAGTACTTACATTCATTATAAGGCTTACTCATATAATATTTTTGGGACCAAATATAACATTAACAAGCARGCAGATATTACTAATTGAAGGATAATATTAGAAAGAGTAAAGAGGGTGATTCCAGCAAAAGTCAGAGGYTTGTAAACATGACTCACTTTAGACAATCCTGTGTTACAATAGTCTGTTTTAACTTAAAACAAGGGTTAACATCAAAGTTAAAAAAACTGATAAGTCTTACCATGTCTCTGTGCTCCAAGTTAGCATTGTTCTCCAGTAACTCCCTCACCACCTCAATGTGTCCCTCCTTCGCTGCCGAGACCAGCGCTGTCCAGCAGTCCTGCACAAAGTGTCCACCTGTTACTCTGAGAACTCCCAGCAGACGTCACCCCCAGGTTTCACCACTCTGAGCACCATCATACCTACCAGCTGGTCGTACCAGGTGCTCTTGGGGACAGGCTGTCGCATTGATACACCAGAGAGTCGCACAGCAGGCCACGACTGACAAGACACTACAGAATCCCTGCTCTTTTCGCCTGCGTTCATCCMAGTTTGAGTGTGTCGTGTGTAATAGCAGGTTATATGCGACCGAGATGGTAATATGGGGTGTGCCAGCATATGTAAGTGTGCGTTGAAGTACATGTGTGAGTGCGTGCGTGTGTGGAGGCTGGCTTCTGAGGACACAAGGTGTCTGCTTGGTGAACACATCCTGTCATTTAGTGAAAASAGCAAAGGTGAAGGTGTGTAATAAGATGTCATTATGGCTCATAATAACTGAGGGCTGAGCTCTGCTGTGGTGAGTTCAGCAAGACGGAACATCAAGGCCGCTACTGACATCTTTCTTGTAAAGTAGATGATGTGGTTACTATGACCGCATTATTTTCTTTTTCCACTTGGGCCTCAACTCTGTCGTACATCCTCATGCTGRTACGCATGTGTTCATTTTATAAAACAAGATATGAAAATAGGTGCATRCTTACAACATCATCCAGGTTAACACAAGCTCCTCTCCTGATGAGTTCTTGTACGATTTCCAGACTGCCCATCTCTGCAGCCACCATCAGTGGAGTCTGTCCATTCTGATATAAAAACACAGGAAATTAAACAGGAAACAGCTCCTTGCTTTGATCTCAAAAGCCAAATATTTTTCTCAACGGTTGCCAGATTGAGGACGGAGCTACATTATAGTTTGTGATTAGAAAATGAAAGGAAATGTAAAAGGTTTTGCAAGTCATCAACAGAAAAAGACCAACTTTCAAACTCATCCTAAATAAGTGAGATAATTATATATAAAACTCTGGTCCAAGAGAAGTCATGTACTTTTTTAAAGCTCCGTAGCCCTGAAGCGAAAATCCTTTTTTCCCCACAGAGCACTTGTTGCGCAATCTGAAAAAGCCTTTCATTACTGTGTAATCCTCCCTGACTGTCCTGAGCTTGTTGCGATACTGGATGACTTACATCGCTCCTGCAGTCCACATCTCGGAACTTGTCCAAATGTGCCTTGACAGCAGCCAGGTCATCATCCTCCACATAGCTGAACAGACTCTGGACAGCTAGAGAGGTCGTCTTCATGGAGGTGGTGGTATCCATGGCTGTCTGCTGACCACCTGCACGCCACTGTGAAGCAAGAGGAAACCAGAGAAGCTCTTCACAGCGTGCGAATGACAGCAGGGATGTTTGTTAAAAGCTGAGCCGTACAGCACTTTTAAAGGGTAGCATCTCACTGAGCTGTCAAGCTGGCAACTCAAACCTGACTTATTATTGTGAGAAAAACACATGTTCAGTCGAAGTCTCGCTGAATTCTGAGAGCGGTGTGGTGTGCATGTGAAGCGTCGATGTGGACTGAATTTGGCACGGCCCAAACCAAACTCAGGAGCAAAAACTGACCCATTCCTAGCAGAGGGGATCCTAAATATTTCCTGAGATGAGCAGTTATTTTCTGTTTGTGTAGATTTTCATTCATCCAGGACATGGCCATTCTTGAGAGATTAAAATTGAAACAACTGGACTTTCTTTATYTTTTCCTGTAGAAGACACTTCTAATCTCAATTCAAAACTAAAATATGTGAAGCTGAAGGCAAGATCCACTCACTCCTTTATCACCGTGTTGTTTCTTTACATTATCTGTGTTAGCCTACTCGGGCACAGAGTCCACAAAGTAAACAAAACAAACCCAACCATTATCAATCTGTGCGTTTTTCTTCCTAATAGGCTGTTAAAGTCGTGGCTGCACAGCATGCTCATTACACAACGTCTAACAGGCACTAAGCTGGGTTTGTTTTGTTCCATCATTCTGCTCATGCTTAAACCATGAMGTTAATTTTGTCCACTCTTTATAATGAAGGCACATCTATGAAGTCAAATAATACTTTGATTTGGCAACGACTCACAAAACCTGCACTGGACTGTTTGCTTCGATTGTATCAAGGCGTTTCCTGCGTTACCTTCCTCCACTGCCAGAAAAGAGCAGAGATAATTGCAGAAAAGTACAAAAGTTTGCAAAGGGTTAGAAGCAAGGCAGAAATAAACAACCGTCTGGATCTGACGAATCAATGCACATAATTCCTTTTCGGGATTTAAATGAAGTGAAGCTTCATCGTGCAGCTGACTGAACAACACAAGACAGATAAACGGAGGCGTTTCTAATTCTTTTTGCTCCAATTACTAGATCRAGATTACTTTTTCTTCTTTACAACTGCAGCAATTTCCTCTTTTATCACTGACCCTTAAAGTATTATAAGACCAGATAACAGAGCTTAACCTAAATCCGCTTGCTTTGTCTCTATTAGAGATGCAGACGATCGATAAAAGGCTCATCAATGATTCATAAAGTTGGGCTCTTCCATCGTGGTCAGAGTCACTTCCTGCCAGAGAATTAATGAGCTGCACTCACTGCGTGCATGTTGCCTTGGCAATAGGTGTTAGAATATAACTACACTGCTCGATATTTCTGCTCAGGTCGATACACACTTAAAACGTCACGTGTCTGCTTGGCTGTCAGTTCAAAGGTCTAACAGTTCAGTCAAATTTAGAGTCSACAATCAATTCTTATCTAAAGGACATAATATTCTCTTTTTAAAAAAAAACTGACCATTCTCCAGTTATGCCTCACCTGTCAACTGTGCTTCTAAATCAAATACATTCACAGGTAAGTGGGGGGAAAAAAATCCTTTGTTTACTGTGACAGCACTAGGAGCCTGTTGACACACCCTCCTCAACTCGCTGTCTCTCAGGACAATGGGTGGATGTTTACACCACACAAGAACCGATCAGTGAACACTGAACCCTCTCCTCTGTTCAGCAGCAACCCTCTGAAAATTCAATACAGACAAAAAAACTCGCAAAAACTAATGACTAAACAAAGGCAAACACATACGAATATGTTTAATTCAATCATAAAGTCACAAAATATATATTAAAAAGACAAACCTCTACCTTGTTGTGGAGTAAAGTTGCTTTTAAGTCTCCCAGTTCAACACCGACACMGATTTCCTGCTCAATCGTACAATCAAACCCTGCCGGCTCATGCTCAGCATCCCCCCGCTTATAGTAAGAGCTGAATATTAAATGAGGGGATGGKGGGGTGGGGTGGGTCTGGCCCACGCCCATCTCTTCTTCCACACAATAGACACACTTCCCCATTCAGGCATGGTCTYGACGGATGCACATGAAAGGGCAATTAAAATGTGACCATTTGCGTTACAGCTAGAAGTCCGTTGATGTTACAGTACAGCCAGATTTATTTAAAATAAATGCATGTAATAATGAAGTTTTTGTCATGATAAAGTACAGTCAATATCATGTTTAAAGCATCTAAAACAGGAAAATATGAATCTGAATTTGTGTCAGGGGGATCATAAGTTACAAAAAACGTGATTACGAAATTAACTTGTGTTTTAGAAAACACAAAAGCATTTTTCTCACATTTAAACAACTGATCGAGTTTTAGTTAACAAAATGCCCGTTTATGTTCTGTGTCGTCTAAAACTGAACTGGGTTCATTTCAATCCAGTTTTTATCTACTGTGCTAACACAAACCACTAGATAAGAACATAAGATAGCCTACTCAGCTAAAGTGTTATTTGCACATTTAAAAGAAGGCATTGAAATAAGCGGGAAGCACTGGATAGGATCTCTAAATTTAACTTGTCAGCTTTTTATGGCGTGTCATGTGGGAGTGAATCTGCTGAAGAGATAGTTCCTCAGTTTGTACAAATCAGGGCAGCAAGGTTACCTGGACTTCCTGGAAAAAAAATTAAGGAAATTGTCATTTTTCAGTCTGTGCCAAAGTAGATACAGACTTTTAGAATTAGAACCTCTTTAATGCAACTTTAACACAATAATTAGAATTAGGAATTGAGCTTAGATGCAAACCTAAACAGAAATATGAGAAGCAAATTACACATTGATTGATAAAAATAAACTAAATAATTGGGGTGTATGAAAACCACAAAATTAAAAATATCTTAATGCCATGAGAAATGTTTGCATTAATTTTGTAGACAAATAAGGTATTGTTGTGTAGGTGAATTGTAGCACAGACTGAGCTAATTCTGTAATCTGTCGAGAATAATTCAAGCAAAATTAAGCAGACAACAAACTAAAAGCCTGGGGGTTGGGTTGTTATTTTGTTATGTTGTGTTTACTGACAGAATTTGCAACTTTCGTGTATCAATATGACTGCTTGTCTAAAAAGTAAACATGTAAGACAAACAGGCAGGGAGGAGGAGGAAGTTGCAGTTTATAAAGGACCTTTGCTTGTACCGTCGTTTAAAAGTACGGGACAAGCACAGAGTTTTTCTTGTTCTGTAGTAAAAAACCAAAACAAGCATCTACAATCCCAAACAGCTAACCAACGTTAGCATAAAGTGGCTAGCTCTCCAACAGGTTCGTGCACTTCTGTCGCCCGAAAAATCGAACAAAAAAGTGCAGTTACAAACCGGAAGTCTTCTTACCCGARCAAAGAAGCTCTACAGTCGTCTTTCAGCTGGTTCCGGAGAGTAAATTCGGCCAAAGAAATGTTTTTTTTTTTTCTTCTTCTCAAGTCATAATGTACTGAACAGAGTGTAACTGTAACCTGCTGCTGCAGAAATGTCACTGAAGCTCCGCCCCCTGCTTTCTCTGGTTACAGAGGCTGAACATGTGGCAACAAGGTTAAAACCCTGCCTCCAGTTTAATACAAACAACCAACACGTCTGACAGGATTAATGCAGGATTAAAATGACTTTGTCCCACACACATTTCAAAATCCTGTAATGTTAGCTTCAATGTTTTTCTGTCATAAGGACCCTAATGGCCAGCTTGTCTCTTATACAGTCAAAAGGCCAGCTTGTCTCAGAGTACAGCACTGTGTAAAAGTTTTTTTTTTTTTCTTTTTGGTGGTTTGTCTTTTAAATGTTCTTACTTAAATCTGACAAATATTTCAATCATTTCAAAAGTTATTTAAACTCTAAGAATTAACCGTCTACACGTGACAAATTGATAAGAAACAAATATGAAAAGAAAAAATTTTCATTGAACTGAGACTTTCACGGACGAATCAAATCTTTTGAATGACTCCTTAAAACGAACAAATCCACAAGATCCGGCTCCCTTYAAAAAGCCATAAATCACATCTCCAATTCTTAAATCAAATCTGATGCAAGGCCATAGGAATTATGGGTGCTCCGGGTGCACTAGCATCCCCATGTGAATGCCAAAATACAGTTAAAAAATGAATAGAAATTAGTGAGTTTGTAAATCAATGCCTATAAAAACCATTACTGTTATTGTGTGTATGCAAAATGACCATTTAAAAGGCAACAAAACATTCAGGTTTCCAAAAGCAAAGTACAAACATTAGGAGTGGCTTAAAACTTCTGCACAGTGTTATTTACACAGTAAAACAACAAAGTGTCATCGGTACAAAACAATCCAATGAAAATGCTAACTAAAAGACCCATAATGAAACATAATTAGTGTTAAAAATAGTTTCTCTTTATTTTTCCACATAAATTCTTTTTTTTAAATGTACTGTTATACAAATATTCTTTCAATAAATTTCTTTCCAACACAGAAAAAAATACCCATTATGTTACACAGTCACACGCACCAAACACACACACGCTTACATACACTCAAAAAAAACAAAATGAGACATTTGTAGTTTGGCACTTTGGACTTATGGAGCGGTTTGCATTGATCTGCTGGTTTGGGTGGCCATGCAGTGCAGTAGTTGCCATGTTTGTAGTATGACATAAACCCCGCCCACCTTTCCGGTGGTCCTCCCTCATTGATGCATAACTTGGGCAACAAATATAGATTTCTTAAAACCGCAATCGGCATGTACAGATCACAAGAAATGGTAAACACACACATACACACACGAGTTATGGCAGGAAGATGTAAATGTTAGAAAGTCCTAATGAGGTCCACTCTTAAAATTAGCTCACTTCTGCTTTAAATGACTGTTTTTCCTGTAAGYATAAACAAATATTAAAGCACATTTTTAACAAAAGAAACCTAAAATCTCTAGATATCGTCTTAAGCAGACACATAAACTTTTCCTTTTATGATGAACAATGAGAAAGCTTTAACTTTGCTTAATTTTCACTTCATGTTCCCACCCCAAAAAATAAAAAAGACAACAAGGCATTGACAAAGCAATCAAATAAACAGCTTCCAAATGACCACCCTTACCTGCACATTAAATAAAATAATTCAATTTACCATAAACAAATGGTTTAAGCCGTTAAATTTGTACAAACAAATTGCTTCTCTTCTTCCAAACCTTAAAAATTGTCTTTAAATCACAGGAGGGGTCGCTAAACTCCCTTTGAACCCTTGTTTATCTGAGGAGTTATCCAAACAGATCAATAACATGAAATATATATATATATATATATATTTATAAAAAAAAACGTTTATGGACTTTAACTTTCTCTTAAACTTTCCATGGATGGAGACTGTTTCCAAATCCCGTTTCAAATAGTGTTCTCAAATAAACTCAAACGCACATAATGTGAGAATTCCTCACAAAGATTTTAAAGATACAGAAACAAAAGAGTTTAAAGTTCCTAAGGCCCGTCTGAAGTTGGCAGCTGATGATAAAGATTGTGTTTCTTTTATACGTACACATCTCACCAAACAGAGGCTTGTATCCAGACAATGACAAAAACCCTCCACATACAGCTCAGATAAAAATAATACCTCACCGATGGAACTGCATTTAGGTTCTCAAAGTCTGCCATTTTTATTTTCTTTATTCCCACCTGCAGAGCACATTGAGAGTTTAAGGCAGCTTGGAAATTCTTGTTTTCCCCCCGACTAAAGTTATTTAAAGCATCCATTATCCCGTTCGATTTATCTTTGTGTCTTTATGTCTGCTGTCATCGTTGCTACTAGAAGTTTGGACAGGGTTTGTGTTTTCTGCTCGAATGTTTTTTCTGTTTTTTTTTTCTTTTTGGTTCTTTGTCAGGTAAACAAACGTGACACACTTTCCGTCAACGTTCTTGTCCCTGTTGTCAACAGGACTGTGTGTCGCTGTCCCAGGTCTCACGTGGTCTTGTCTTTCTGGTTGCAGTTGCTGTCTGTGCTGTTGTTGTGGTCCGTCTGGTTGCCCCGCGTGAACTCCTGCAGGCCGCTCTGCTGCTCTTCGGGCTGCCGGCGCCTCGATTTGACGGGTAGGACCAGCACGATGAGCAGACACAGGAGGTGTAAGGAAAAGTACCAGGAGCTGCAAAATACAACAAAAGTGAGAGTTTGTTATGAGAAAGAATGCAAAGAAATGACACCAATGACCTCAAATCATCATTAATCTGACATTTTATCATGAATAAATAAATAAATAAAGATGGATGGATGGATGGACGGACGGACGGATGGACGGATGGTCATTAATTTGACATATTATCTAAAAACAAATAAATATGGATGGATGGATGGATGGACGGCTGGATGGATGGATGGACGGCTGGATGGATGGATGGATGGATGGATGGATGGATGGATGGTCATTAATTTGACGTTTTATCATAAATAAATAAATATGGATGGATGGATGGATGGATGGATGGATGGATGGATGGATGGATGGACATTAATTTGACCTTTTATCATAAATAAATAAATATGGATGGATGGATGGATGGATGGATGGATGGATGGATGGATGGATGGATGGATGGATGGATGGATGGATGGATG